ACAGATGTACAGAACCATTTGCATGTTGTCCAAAAGCAATTGCAATTTGATGAAAACAACAAGAAATTGCTGATATGATGTGAACAACTGACACCAGAATCTGACGGTTGAACGAGTAGTTCTGAGAAATGCAGTTCTGTTGTGAGAAATGAATGAAAGCGATAGAGAAAAACTGTAATAGAGTGTCTTCAACAGGAAATATGTGCTGAAACAGTAAACATTTAAGTCACTGCTCACACAGCAAGAGGAACTGTTCTTAGCACCAGTAAACACAATGTAAGTACCTTTTCCACAGCAGGGTCATCTCTAGAGAGAAGCTGAACAGTGATGGGAACGTGAGCTCTGATCTTCTCATTTATGGCTTCTTCCAGGGCCTGGAGCTGGGCAGGTTTCATGCAGGGAGTGTCCAGTTCAATGGTGCTTCTCTGATGGCCTAGTTCCCTAAAAAAAAAAAACAAAAACAACACACAGAGAAGACAGATAAACCCACAAGTCCTTATGGTTACAGAAGGACAGAATCTGTGCATGTGAAGTACCAAGATGTGGTCTTGTATCCAAACATTGCATCTGCCAAGGCTGTGATCAAATGTTGACCTAAAAGTTAAGAAGTAAACATCTGTCTTAGAAGATATAGTCGTGCATTCAGTCTGGCAAAGGAGTTACTTTAGATTGAACATCCCTGACCTTGGTGTTTACTGGTCCTTACCTGAGTGCTGCTGCATGTGGTCAAACCTCCTCTCCCAATCAACCTTCACTCGCACCTCCTGACCCACCTCCAGCGGTGCGCTGACAAAGTGTACAGCTTCTGCTCCCTGCCTCGTCACCCTCAAAACTGGGACATCTTCGATTAGACCATGGTCATCTGGCTGAAGGAAGGAGAAACACCATAAAAGGTTTTAGTAATATTATATGGTATAACCTTTGACAACTTAGTATGAGTTATGATGTGAATAATTCCCAAATGAGAAACATGAACATTTTACTGACAGGACTTGTTTTATGTTCTTACTTGGCCACCCCCCTCAGGAAACAAGATTGTGTCCTGGAGCTTGACACTGAAACCCTTCAAAGTTTCTTTCTTTCCACAGACTTCTTGTTTGAGTTCATCTGGGCTGCAGGATACCACAGAGGTAACAAACTAAAAGGAAACGAATGAAATGAAAACTCAAACAAATAAAATCCGACTGACAACAAGAAAGGCGCAAGAGAAACTGCGTGCATTTAAACAGCGAAATAATGTATCATTTACAAATGACTGTTTCCATTGTGTTAATGAATCATGAAAATTTTAAGATCGGATTTAGGGTGACAACATAAACATGAGCTAGCTGGGAATAAACTACACAGTTGGGCTATTGCGTTGTCGCAACATGATTACACAAAAATACCAAACATGTACTACCCTAAAATACAGTTAAAAGTAGTCAATTAGTTACACTGGGTAACTACATAGTACTCTCACTGCAGCAGCTAGTTAGCAACTGTGCTAGTCACTTCAGCACAGAATGAATGGTACACTTCCGTAAGCCATTAAAATATGTAAACTAGGCGCTGTTATTTTCCTTTAAAAGCTTCATACCTCTTTCATGTAGCAATCTCGCTGACACTGAAATGCCATTGTAAAAGTAAAACTGTGCCTGTGTCGAGTTTGTGTGAATGAAACGATCTCAGCTGCTACAGCTGTCAGCTTAGTACGGGTAGCAAGATAGTCCAAATCTAGTTACACCGCCTTGAAAGACAAAAATAAGCATTAGTAAAGTGCTATCAGAGGTAGAAATTTGTGTTTTGGTCTCCACAAACACAAACAGTCTGTTTTGCAGATGAAACGCTGAACAATAGATATGTTATGGTGCACAAGAAATTATTAGAAGCATGCAACGTGTGGTATAGATAAATAAAACAGTATAGTATAGTCACATAACATAAAACATGGAATAGGCTACATCTTACCATCATCATGTTAAAAATAACCAGTTGCTTCATTATTATATTGGGGAGTTACACAAACAACAATGTTATCTACTCATACTCAAAGTGTAAATACATTTTATTTACCGGCCTATTAATATTAGACATTACCACAAGCACCATAGGAGTAAGGTTGATACCACTCACTTTTATTAAAACTGACAATGACATGTATAAGCAATAATATATCAATAAAAAATGTATAGAAAATATCACATATAAAAAGCATTTTGTTCAATTACACATCAAACCATCAGCAAATATATTGTATTAAGCTTCAGAAAACATAGCATTGTCTGCAGTATCCTGGGTGACCTTGCCTCCAACACAATAAAGAAGGCGTTGTAAATCTCAGTCAGACTGGAGAGGAAGGAGGAAGAAAATGGTCAATGTCAACATTTAAATGATCAATAAATGAAAGTTTTTTTGATTTTTTTCAGTTAACGTCACTGCATACCAGTATAATCTGAAGGCAAGTAAAAAATATATATTTGATCAAATTTTTACTGTGTATAACACTGAGTTTCAATGTGTTCATCCAAATAGCTGTACAAATCAGTTTTAACCATTAGACAACTCCCTGTGTTACAATTTAAATGTAAGATCACAAACTACTGCACTTACATCACTAAGATCACCCATATCCGGTGTTTCTCCTTTATTACCTGCAGCCATTTCTTGAATCATCTGAAAAAGGAAGGCCAAGTGTTTACATACACGCATGCCTAAACTCAAACCCGCTACATAACAGTTCTGTTCTCTTCAACGTTGTCAAGATTTACTTGATCTTATTACTGAGCACAGTGATTCCACTCACATCCATGTATCTGTCATACTCTTCTTTTCCCTCACTGTCTTCATGCTCCCAATCCCTCCAGTTATCAAAGTCTACTGATAGCCAACTGGGCTGCAGAAAGAGGGCAAAACAACACAATTTTAAATATTATTTACCAGGGAGAAAGTGAGAGGGAATAAACAGAACACTGCTGCCACATATCACTTATACACCATAACACCTTTTTTTTGCAGCTCATGATGGGATCAGTTGTGTTATCTATGGACAACTTCATAGTAGCTTTTATATACAGTACAGTATTGTCTTATCAATTTAAACCTGTAAACAGTGTCGGCCATGTCTCACACAACAATTATAAACTATTGTCCTGAGGTCTGTGAGACAAGATCATTTAAACCTTGTGACTGATCACACACAGACTTACTTTAGCAGAGTCTTTCTGGAGACGAGGCCACGCATAATCAGGCTTCACCTTCCTTAGCAAGACATTGATGGTGCGGTCATAGACTCTTTCTCTAGAGTCCTTTTAAAAGATGACAAGATTAAAACACAAGTTTATATTTACAGTAGAATAATTGTACTTACTAATATTCCACTGGTCTCATCCAGCGTTAATTAAATGCTTACATTGATTTGGACTTTCTCATAGAAGTGCAGCTCATTGTAGAACACATCGTGTGTTTCGTTTTTGCAACTGTTGTAAAGAGAGAACAGGGTTCTATCAAGGGAAGAGTTTAGTACAACATATGATTTGCAACATTTTTATAGTATAGACAACTATCCACGTTTTCATAAAACTACCTTAAAAAACATCTGATGGCTTATATATTCAATAAGTCAGAAGCAATGGGGGAGAGATTGAAGTAACAGTGAAACAGTAAACGCACCATAAAATCATTTTGTCTGGCTGGATATCAACCTGGACATCTTTAGGTCTCTGAACCATAAAGTTGATGGTCACATATTTCTTTCTGTCAAACCACACCGCGTGTGCTGGCTGGCTGTTAGGACACAGAGAAACTATGAAACTCATGAATCACATGATCATTTTTTTATTGCCCCTCTTCATAATTAAATGGATTAGTAAAAAGGACACATTTTGGTCAAGCTTAACAATGTTAAAAAAAGAGTGGCAGTACTTACCTCGCCTCAGGTCTGACAATTTTGGGCTTGTTCATTCTAATTGTTGCACAGAACTAAAACAGAAACTCCTAATTTTGTCTAGAGGAGAGTAAAAAGCATGTGGCTCTTTCGTTCAAGCTGTGTGCGCTAATGCAGTGACCAGATCCTGGCTATTTATAGAGTAGTTGATATCAGCTGCTGGGGAAGCTTTCCTGCCTCAGCCCCTCACCCAGCCCTTTATATCTGTCAGTGGAACTCTCTGGAAAACAGATGCATTTTCTTTTTACCACTCGCAACTGGGATGCATAAGAGGCTAAAGCTGAGGGCAGGGAGACATAAAACAGAGAAGAAAACCTCACAGAAGGGATGTCTGAAAATTTGAACAGCATTTGGAACCATGGAGGGTCAGTAAACAGCTGATGTAAATACTATTCACACAATTTGTGTGGTTCATTTTAGTTTTTGTCTTTTGAACTACACTAAGTGATAAGAAAACTACACTGTGGAGGAGGCTGAAAATACAAGAGAAGTAAGGGAACTGATATCAGTTTGGATTCTTCACCAAAAAGTGAACATTGTTACATTTTAGGCTTGTAGGTAAGATAATGTTTAAACTACATCTTTTTAATAAAGATGCACTTGGAAACAGAATGGGGTCCCAAAAGTGATACAATGAATAAATTAATTCAAAAATCAAAATAGGCCTAAATAAATATGTTAATAATGTGTTTTCTGGAATTGTTGATTTATTCACATATTCATTTATTTAATTTTCATTTTAAAATTTAATACTGCCTATTTATTTATTCTTATATTTGTATCTACAGTTAACCTATTTATTTCTGTATTTATTTATTTCCAACTTTATTAATTTATTTATTTCCTGTGTCACAGTCGGTACTCCACAGTATTTTTTATTAAATAAATACATCTTAAATAAAGGCCCACCAACTAGGTTTTTTCACAGCTTGTGTGTTTCAGTGTAGGAGATACATTCTTGAGAGTGTATGAATACTGTAATAGAACAGTAGGTTTGAGTAGGGAATGGAATATCAATCCACTCATAGAGGAATGATGTTACACACTCCGGTGCAGTAGGTGGCAGCATACACCTCTCAGGTTTGTCTGTAGCCCGCCATTTCACCTGGGAAGAAGAAGGCACAGTCCTGCTGTTCTGGAAGCTCACAGTCCATAGGCTTTTTTCCACCGGAAGTGCAATTCTCGGCTCCGTCTGTGGGAACGTGGCGCGAGAGATCTGGGCACCACTTGTGTACATATGCAATTCTGTCTGGAAAAGGAAATCAGTAAATAGGTTTCTTTCGCCTTTTATCTAAAGTCCGGGGGATTTTTGCTATCTGTGATTTTAAATCGACAGGACGCAGCGCCCATCAAGGTGGAAATGCCTCGTAGACGACAGGTAAGAACAAATGTTGGACGCATCAGAGGGTAACGTTAGCTAAGTTAGCGGCGATGTGTTCACTTGTCGGGATGGAGAGAATGTTCCGCCGTGTTCCATTCAATAATAGGACAATTTAATTTGCCTGAATATTGCATTAATAATGCATACGTGCAGTGCACAGAGCAGAATGCAACAATGTCAGTCATTTTCAACAATTTGTCATATTTAGCTTTTGATATTTTCATCTAGCGTTAACTTATGCTACACCTCGGTGGGCGTTAACAAGCAGCTAACTAAATTTACTTAACATATGGAACTAAAGCAGCGCCGATGACAGTGTATGCCGAACGCACCACAGTACTACAATAACGGGGGTTGTCTGAAACATTATGAACATGGCACCTGTAGAAAAGCCACCAATAGCCCTACGTCTTAACCTGTCTATTTTGTCAATACAATGTGGTCCACTGTTATTTCCCGTATGAGAAAACGGGGGCAGCTAACGTCACAGGCTAACGCTAAGCTAACAACAATAATAGGCTGCTAACCAGGTTAGCGTCTCTGTCGTTTAGCCACTACTGTGTTCAACAACTGTAGCATTAACGATTTTGACTAAAATCAGTCGCTCTTTGAAAAGTACCTAATATCCAAATTATATCACATATCCTAATTCTGGTCAAATATATTACCGGCGTACGTTTGTCAGCTGTTAACTGTTAATGGTACAGCTATTGTAATAGTATGCTACCAGCTGACTATCGCCTTCTTCTCAAAGAATATTTAATTAGCTGGATAATAACTGTGAGCAAACTCTTGTTAACACGAGAATTTCCTTTTTCCAGATTTTGGTTTGCTGGATTTATGAATCTCTAAGTAGCGGTTATTAACAAGTTAACCTCGTTGATTGTGCTTTGAAGGATAGACCACTATTGTTGTCATGTTTAATTTACATTAGTGGCAATGCCATTAGCGTTATTTTGCTGTGTTAGATTGCCCTCCCTACCACAATCCTTCTGCTGGCATGCCACATCAGCTTAGAAGTGTTTGTACCATAATCAAAGAAATCTTTTGTAGGATGCCTCTCACATTAGTTTTTCCCTTGACAGAGACATATGGCTGGGAGTGGCTCAGATGGAACTGAAGACTCTGACTCCTCCACTGAAAGAGAGCCAACCAATAGTTCAGAAAGCGATGGAAACATTCCCAAGCGACAGCGCCTCACTAGAGCCTCTACTCGCCTTAGCCAAAGCTCTCAGGGTTTGTGAATGTCCTAGCAATACAATATACAACATTTGCAGCGTTTCTCACTTAACTGTTTAAGCAATGTGACGATTTGGCTTTTTTTTCTTCTTCTTTGCTTTAGATACTCCAGACATAAAGCGAGCTGCAGACCATGATGAGTCTCCACCACTGACGCCCACAGGAAATGCCCCCTCCTCTGAATCTGAGCTGGACATCTCCAGCCCCAGTGCCTCTCATGATGAGAGTCAGGCCAAAGATCAAGTCAACAGAGATTCAGATAAGGACCTCTCCCATCGACCCAAGCGCCGCCGCTGTCACGAAACCTACAACTTCAACATGAAGTGCCCTACGCCAGGGTGTAATTCACTAGGTAAAATCCCTGCCCTTTCACAAGTCTTATACATTGGCCATCCATTTAGGCTTATTGAATGTATTTGTTTTTAGTGATATACTGTATTGCCATAAATATCATTGTTTTAAATGTATTGCCCAGGTCACCTTACAGGGAAACATGAGCGTCATTTTGCTGTGTCAGGTTGCCCTCTTTACCACAATCTTTCTGCTGATGAATGCAAGGTGAGAATCTTTGATTCTGACTTATAGACAAACAACACACAAATGTACTCAGAAAACACAAGAAATAAGTATCACGGAATTGCAAACTTGCACTTAAAGTCATCTTAAAAACACGCTGTAATCCGTCTAACTCTTTACCTCAGGTGAAAGCCATCAGCCGTGAGAAACAAGAAGAAGATTCGAAGGGGCAGGAGGAAAGTAACTCGCGCCATGCAACTCGTAACCAGGTAGTTTCTTTTATTTGTTATTTGTTATTGACCAGCTCTTGTGTTACCATGAAAGTGAGCGGTTAATTTTATCTTGATTTTCAGACACCAACATCAAAACAGAGCAGATACAAAGAGCAGGTGGCCGAGATGAGGAAGGGGCGAAACTCTGGCCTACAGAAGGAGCAGAAAGAAAAGCACACGGTACATCACAGACACTCCAACATGCCGTTGTTCATTTGTTTGGCACTCCACATTTTACAGTTTCTATGGGTAATGCTTTGCATGGCTGGTACTGTATGTTGTCTCATCTCTGTGCCGCCTTCGGTTTGATCCACAGGAGCATCGACAGACACACAGCAACACCAGAGAGCCCCTGTTGGAGAACATCACCAGTGACTATGATCTGGAGCTTTTCAGGAAAGCCCAGGCCCGTGCATCCGAAGACCTGGTAATGGCCAGCTTCATATCTCCATCACTATTACTCTTGCATTAATGTTAAAATAATTGATTTTAAATGCTAAACTAATGTATAAGAAATACAATTTTTGCTCTTGTGCATTGAACTACAGTAAAAATAATGACTGAGGGGTTTCCTTTTTAATTATAGTAATACCATAGTGGGTTTGTGCTATTAATCTGACTTGGGAATGTACAGTATGTTGTGTTGGTACTTGCTTTGGTGTTACATAGAAATACACCCACCATGCCATGTATCTTACTTCCGTGTTAATATACCTTCTTATCTTAAAAACCTGTTGTGGACAAATGTTTTTCTGAGGTTGCCAGCGTAGAGGTGGAAACCTTTGGCAACAGGTCTGATTCAGTTCCATTCTTGGTTGTAGAATTTGAATCAGCATAGTTGTTTCAAAATGATTCAATCTAATAAAAAGAAAGACGGGCTCTACATACAAACCCCGTTTCCAAAAAGGCTGGGGCATTTTCCAGAATGCAGTAAAAACTCAAATATGTACTTTCTTAATTTGCTTCAACCTTTATCTAACTGACAAAAGTACAAAGAAAAGGTTTTCACCTCTCAACTTATTTGCATTTTGTATATATAAACACATTTAGAATGCATGCAACACACTCAGAAAAAGGTTGTGCTTCCTCTGTGCAGGAGAAGCTGCGTATCCAGGGTCAGATCATTGAGGGCAGCAACATGATCAAGACCATTCTGTTTGGGCGCTACGAGCTGGACACCTGGTACCACTCACCCTATCCTGAGGAGTACGCCCGTCTGGGTCGTCTCTACGTCTGCGAGTTCTGCCTCAAGTACATGAAGAGCCAGACCATCCTCAGGCGACACACGGTGAGAGACTTTGTCTAAACCTGATACACCACTACTTTTTTGTTATATATTGTTACATTTTTTTCTGTTACAGAAAGGTTCACTGTATGAAAAGGTTAGACACATGGTTATAATATTAAAAGCAACAAATAGAAAGGGATTGTTTAGCTAATAAGAAATGATTTCCTATAGTTTAAAAATGGTTATGTTGTTACTTGTATAATTTACATGGTACATATTATTGCTTTGAAATCTGTCATTTCACTTTTATTTGTTTTGGACCATTGTCACAGAGTATTGTTTGTTTTATAATGCACCTTTTCAGGCCAAGTGTGTGTGGAAGCATCCTCCAGGAGATGAGGTGTACAGAAAGGGGGCTATATCTGTGTTTGAAGTTGATGGCAAAAAGAACAAGGTAGGGAAACTTCAAACCACCTGAAGATTCTCTTTTTCTTTCTTTCAATAAAGATAGTATTACACAGATATCTCCACTCTTCCTTGGTTACCTGCACATCTGCAAAGCAATCATGGTGATGCATGTACATAACAGACTAAATGAAGCAGAAAGTGCCGCTGTATCCACAGATCTACTGCCAGAACCTGTGTTTACTTGCCAAGCTTTTTCTGGACCACAAAACACTGTACTACGACGTGGAGCCTTTTCTCTTCTATGTCATGACCGAGGCAGACAACACTGGCTGCCATTTAGTGGGATACTTTTCCAAGGTGAATGAATTGATGTGCTGTATATCATTTTGAGGCCTTATATTTTGTATATATCATCTCTTCTTACTCTACACACACACAGAAGCAGCTAAGACATTTAGAGTCTTTATTACCTCAAGGAAAAGAACTCTTTCCTCAACTACAACGTGTCCTGTATCCTTACCATGCCACAGTACATGAGGCAGGGCTTTGGCAAGATGCTCATTGACTTCAGTATGTTCACTGGTTTTTCTCCCATTTCATTGGTTTGTTACTGTAAAAAATAATTCTTGACTGTAACATATCAGTAAAGTAGTAAAAGTAAACAACAGTGAAGTAGACAATTTAGGTACTTTAACATTATGCATAAATACTGTACACTTTTTTTTTAATTACAAAAAAAAAGACATTTTTAAACATTATTTTAGTGCGTTTGCAGACCATGTAAGATAATATATATAATAATAATTGTCTCTTGCTTTGTGTAGGCTACCTGCTGTCCAAAGTGGAAGAGAAGGTAGGCTCACCGGAGAGGCCTCTGTCTGACCTGGGCCTCATCAGCTACCGTTTGTGCTGGGAAGGAGTGGACTCAGGTATATGTACAACTTTCAAGGCAAGGAGATCTCTATCAAAGGTAAGGAAAGACAGAACTCATGCACTTTGCTTTGTGGCTTTGGGTTTCACAAATGCTGATTTAAAAAAAAAAAAGAGAGAAAATCATCTTGAGCTGTGGCATAGTTTTAGTTTGGAGAAAGTTTATTAATACATAAAAAGATTGTCCAAGCAAACCAGACATGTGGATATACAAAATGTGTTATGAGACTGTTATGATATTTGCTCGATGCACAGAAATCAGTCAGGAAACTGCCGTCAATCCGGTGGACATCGTGAGCACTCTGCAGTCTCTGCAGATGCTGAAGTACTGGAAGGGAAAGCACTTGGTGTTGAAGCGACAGGTGAGATCCCGGTCCATTAGCCTGTGTAGCTCTTTTATTTATTTTTTTTAAAGATTGTGTTAAATCTTGATGTATTGTTGGCACCTCACTTAAATCTAATTAGCTCGCTACCTCTCTTTTTCCTAGGACCTGATTGATGAGTGGAAAGCAAAGGAGATCAAGCGAGGAAACAGCAACAAAACCATCGACCCAAGCTCGCTAAAATGGACCCCTCCCAAGGGGACGTAAGCACTAAGACCCTCAGGCTACAGAATTCAGGCTACAGACTCGCCTCCAGCCTCACTAGCCACAAGTAGCCTAGACCTACAGACTGTCAAAGAGCAGTGCTCTTTCTTTTTTCTTTTTACACTGCTTGTTTGTGTCATTCAACTTTTTTTTTTACTTTTATATTCTACTTTCATTTATGTTTTAAGCACCATAAGTTCCAAGCTAAATGATTCCTGATGCAAACAATTAATGGTAAAGAATCCATAACCTGTTTGTTTTGGAACTGCCTACGTCTACTAAGCTTTGAATATTAAATGTTAAACAGTCCAGTGAGGTGGAAAATATGAATGTTTTGCTTTGCTCATGCAAATAATACATGCTTATATCTGGCAGCGTTTACAGGCTGTTCATTTTGTTTTGTTTTTTTTCTCAAGAAATGTGCATTTTAAAGATGGTGGTCAGTTTTGTTTGGAGTTAAGATATAATTGTTAGCCTGCATCGCATCTGCTAGCAGAGTGTGTTTTGAGCGGCATGATGTATGATAATGTCTTTGGTTGGTGTAAAATTGTATAGCTCGATATTTTTCCTCCCTTGGCTCCATCAGTGCAGGATTTGGACCCGTTCCTCTGATGAACCTGCCAAATAATGGAGTAATAAATTCAGATATTTTTTAATTTGCTAAGAATATGGGGGGAAATGATGACAATTCTGCTGTAAGAATGCACAGAAACCTCAGGTTTTTATACTGATAGTCGTACCTTGCTCGTGCGGATTCTCTGAGCCATCAGTCACAGTAGTTGTTGGGAGTGGTTTTACCCTGGTTGAAGACTCTGTGATAAGACATTTTAATAGGACTGTCTTCGCCTTGTGCTTTTAATCATAGTTGTTAAATGTGTATTAGTACTTTGATATTTTTAATATCAGTAAAGCCACCTTGATATTTTCGAAAAAATCTTGTTTCTTGGTATTTGTGCTTACCACCACTGGAAGCGCTTCTTCCCATCAGGCCCACAAACATCTGTCCTTTGTTTCCTACAGGTGTAAGGAAGATTTATTTCAAATACTGCCATAAAATAACTTTAGATTAAAATGTGTGTTTTAAAACAGCTGTGAAAGTCATATTTGTAATAAAAGATTGCTGGGCTTTGTGACATTGTACTGCATCTTAAAGCAAAATCACTGCTTACGTCTTTTGACTTCAAAAGGTTTTTTTGCAGCTGTGAGGGACAAGAAACCACAGTTACTAGCGATCAACACTCTTGTACCAGCATATTCATCTTCATCACTACATACACATATAATGGGCCTTTCTGAAAACCATTACATTATAAACAAAAGCAAAAATTTGTTGAATATTGTGTTTTCTTTGCAGAGATGAGGAAAGACATAATTGTCATTAACACAACCTTCACTTGCTGGTTCAACCTGGAGCTCCGTTTACGGGGAACACTCCTAAATTAAATAAACTTTAGCCGCTTCTTTCTCTGAGAAGAATCTGCTGAAGGAGTTCTGCTCATTATCACTTGTAGAGATTTTGCTGTTGATATAGTTTTGGTGCATTCTGTGGTTGTACTGTATTTTATTTAAGATTTTCTAAATATGTATTGACTAGTCATTATAAATTATTGTTTTATGTTATTGTCTTGACCAGGACACTCTTGTAAAAGAGATTTTCAATCTCATTGAAGTTTTCCTGGTTAAAAAAAGGTTAAATAAAATGAATAAATAAAAATGAGGTCGGGGCCACCTGAGCGTTTCCCCATGAGTCCGTAGAAGCGAAGGGCTTTGGCTCTTTTCATCAGGGTGGCTATTGGGTCCAGTGATTCATCCTGCCCGAAAAATCCACAGTATATTAGATGTTATTTGAACTGCAGTAAAATCAAGAAAATAAGGAATCAACTCTCAGATTAATGTGCTTTGCTTTTAATTCGGTCAAAAATGATTTTAGTGTTGGATTGTCAAACAAGTTGAAATTTGGGAACAGTTTTTCCATCTCTCTCTTTCTCTCAATTTTTTTTTTGATCAGGACATTAAATTAGTGTTACTCACCTGCCAGTCACTGGATAATCCTCTCTCCTCTTCCACACTAGAAGACAGTCCCTGATAGATTTGCAGCAAAGCACAAAAAGTCACAAAAAGCAGCTGAATCTTCCAGTTATCCATGTCTTGGTTAAGGATAAAATATTTTCAATTGTTATCTCTTTAAATGAAGCAGTTAGATGAAAAACAAAGCCAGAAAAAAAAACTTTTCAAATGGTGTTGGTTAGATGTGAGTCAGTGTTATTTTGTCTGATCCAACTGTATTCAGGGTGCATTTATAGCTCTGTGCCCCTGCTGCTGCGAGACCCCTCCTCTTTAAACATGATTGCGCACTGTCTCCACCGCATTTGAAAAGTTCTACATTTGTCTTATTACAGCATTTGTAGAGGATCGTTAAATACTTTGCGACCGTTACACATTAAAGTCTGACATACAGGGTCAAACAAAGAAGATTTCAGTTGAGCACACTGAGTTTCCCCAGTTGTTTTATAGCTGGGATTTCATCCACAGATTTACTAGCAGTTGTAAATTCAAAAACCTCATATTAATGCTTAAATATTGACATTTGCGATAGTCACCTTTCATGTCAAGTTTTATTAGACATCTGGGTCACTGTTGGCCTATAAATAGTCTCTCATTTGTGACCTTGTGATGTCCACATGCTTCTTTGATATCACAGAGGAAGAGGGCAGGACGTGCAGGCGTGTTGAGTCTTTGAGAGACGCTTTGCAAATATAACCATCTGCTTTGAAGGTAGGGCTTTATTGGCTAGCCAGCTGACTTGGTGGGTCACTGCTAGTTCTGGATTTATTAAGAAAGACAGCACAGCTGCGACCTCTAAGATCAGATGAACTGTATTACATATAGGTTATATGTTGATTTAACACTGCAGATGTACTGACGGCTGGAACAAGATGGAAAGAGCTCATAGTATATAAATGACATTTCAATTGCTATGAAATATGGATAGTGTTGCACATCATAACTTGAAATATATTGATATAGTAAACCAATATTTGTAACTTTTTTTTTTAGAATCCTGAGATAATTGCGCGGTTATTAAACCTTTTCATGATCTTTGCTTACTTAGCCATTTAAATGCTCTGTTTTAATGAAAGCAGAGCTGTAGAAATGTCTGGAGAGGCAATTACTGGACAATCAGTGTGCTGTAAGGACACCTATTGAAACAAAGCTGACACGCATCAAATGCTTTGATCCAGCACAGGTGCTTCTAAAAGTAAGAAAAGCCTGGGACAATTAGGCCTGGAGGGCAATTACACCTGAACAGCCCTCATGTGCACACAGTCTAACCCAGAGCTAATGTGGAGTGCTGAATCAAAAGAAATCAGAGGCATAGCATTTACATATGAAATGGTTGAGTCACAAAGAGCCCCTGTAATGACAGAGCAGTGTGTTTCCATATGACGCAGGGGAGCGGCTAGGGAGGCCATTTCAGGACCTGCGCTGCTCAGCTGCCAGGGATTCACTGCAGGATGTTGAGTCTGATCACTCCACCTCCACATGTGTGACTCTTCTGGTATTTTTTATACAAATAGAAATCTCATATCAAGTGACACTGTGCTCTCACATTTTTTTGGTCCTAATAAGCAACACCTTGATTTCTGTGGATCACCTCTTTACAGGTGCAACATGGGACAATTCAGTCCTCAGCCCAATTGATTTCTGTAAGAAGTGCAGGGAAAGCAAATCATGCCCAAGAATCATTTGTTTTCATGCCTGTATGGCGCACAGGTGCTGGAGAAATGAACCATGACCCCTCTCTATCCCAGGGTTTTGTCCACATGGATGAACTCAGGTCCATATGAACAACATAGTGTGTTATTTTTTGTTTATGCTTTATGAGATTTTAAATACATGTAGTCATAACCCCTGCCAAACTGGGAATGTGGACATTAAATGCACTGTGCGTTTGGGCTGGGGGGTGGTGGGTGCTATGAATATGCTACCGAGTTGATGTTGTCATCCTGGACCTAGCATGTCTGCACCTTGACACGTGGCCTACTATAAGTAAGAATCACTCCACCTCTGATTTGATCTCGACCACTTTTTAAAGTGTGTCTGACCATCAAGCCTGTGTTTAATAAAACGCAGTAGCGCTTTAATGCAGGCTTCAGATAGTGAGTTCAGTATTTTCTAGGATTTTTTTTTTTTTGCATTCTTAATTTTGCTTGTAGTAAACAGTATCTGTGGGTAAAATAATCTATGGGAGATATAATTAGAGAAAAACAACAATCGGAATCGGGAGCGCGTCTGGTAACCCTCACCACCACTGGTGCCCTTAAAGGGGAAACAGCCTACCAAAAACATAGCATAACATAACAAACATCCCCTTATCCATGAGTGGGAAGTGGTAGAAAATCTAATTAAGGCAGTTATAACTACTTTAAGTGGGGGTGGGGGGGTTGATAATAAAATAGTGTAATTTCTCTGTGGCTAAGCGTGGGTTGACAAATTGTCCACAGGTGTACCCAATCAGATGGGGGCGTTTCTCCGTCTTTATTATTTAATGATTGTACATGTGGGCGGGGCTGGTTTTGATAAGTTTGTGTGCACCGTAGCCTACATGAGGTAGATGTTCGGGGAAGTTTGATATTGCGCTGGAAAAAAACAACAAACAAACAAACAAACAAACAAACAACCAACCAACCGTCCACACCGCTTAAGTCAGAGATACCGCTGTGCGAGGAGGAAGTGCACGAAACAAGTGCGGCCTGTATGAAAAGCTAAAGGCAGAGGACAGGCTTGTTTTGTTTGTTGTTTTTTTTTAACAGCAAACTGGATTAAAACTCGTCTAAGGTCATTAATGACCAGCCCTTCTGCACAAAGTACTGTCACTGGATTATACTGAAGTCATATCTACATCTACATATTGAGCTCCTCTGCAAACGTGCACGGTAAGAGAACAACGTTGATTTTAGACCGGCTGGGTTGAATGACAGCAAATACCCGAATGTGATGTGGTCACTGAAGGTTGGTTGTCACTGTGTGTGACAGAAAAGAATATGTTGACAGATTGTTAACGTTCTGCTTGTGTGGGACTGGGAGCTGCTTTGTGTTTGGTTGTTTGGGCCTGGTTACCTTTTCTTCAGTTTGGTTATTTAGATTTATGTGTTTCAGCTGCTGTTTCTTCCTCTTAAGGTCTGGGTAATGTTATACCTGAGAAGTGCATGTTAAAGCTTTTGTCAAGCCTGTGTTCATGGTCGGTTGTAATATCTAAATCTTTTGTTGTTTTTGGTAAACCCTCAGATTTGGGGTTAGCAGGAAGGTCATGGAAACTGTGGACTTCAACAAATACTATGGCTTATCCATTTTTACAGGCCAAATGTATAGGCCCCGGGCCTGAACTAATTCAAAGCATAATCTTTTCTGTTTAGTCTTGTGCATAACCACTTTCATATTGGGTTTAGTAAATGCTCCCACATTTTCAATTGGCTCACTCCTTCTCTTAGGCAACTGTTTCTTAGTCTTAAAGCGGCATAAATCAAGTTATTTTGTCACCTAAGAAACGCTACTGGCTCATACATGACACAAGGTAGCACTCCCTGACAAAACCACCCGAGGACACCTCATTGCTGGAGCTGAGGGCCATAATCTCCTGTTGACAGACACTGTTATCAGATGGGTCACTCTGCTCTGGTGTGTAGTGGAGAGGCCTGATATCATCAGCGCTTAGCCTGATAGAGCGGCTTTAAGGCTGACTAGTAGACCTGCTATCTCCACACAATCTGGACACATCTTAACACTGACAAATTAGTCCACTCATGGGACTAAGTGGGGTTTACTGGAGTTGGTCTGTCAAGTGAGTGGAGGAGGAAGAGTGACAAACCTATGTAATTAAATGAGCTTAAGTGGCTCTGACTTTTGTATTTACATTGTCCTTTAAGAGAATGT